GAGAGAGAGAGAGAGAGAGAGAGAAGGACACCATCATTGTACGAGAGAGGCCGTCAGCACATATATATCACACAAAATGAAAAACAAGAAAAAAGCAAAAAATCAGCACAATGTGATAGTTTCGGTGCAAACTTCGCCGAAGATAACACCCCTGGTTAACCACATGTTACATATTATTATCATCTTATTATCATATTCTATTATTATTGTATGATAATAATAATTGTAATAATGTAATTGTTATTTTATTATGATTTATAATTTATTATTATATCATAATAAGTAAAAGTATTAGTATTATTAATTTACTAATAAGATAATATATTTAGAATATTTCATATTTATATTATTAAGGTATTTTAAGATATAATAATATTATTATTTCTCATCAATGAATTGTCTCATAGATACACACAAAAAAATATAAAAACATCTCAAAAATAACAAGGAGGAGGGAATGCGAGGCCACTGCCTCTATGAGCCCGATGGTCGAAGACTGAGCTTCTCAGAGGACTGTTGAAGCTAAGGAGGAGGGAATGCGAGGCCACTGCCTCTATGAGCCCCGATTCGGCCCCTTTTTGGGAGCCTGTCGGCCGCCCTAAGTGAAGGCAGGCTCGACGAGGCCCTCAAGGCCTTATTCCGGCCTCTGCGCAACTAAGGAAATTCAGGCAGTTGCACAGCGCCAGTTGGTTGAGAGAACCCAGGCCCTGGGCCGCCTTTGTGAATGTATGGAAATCAGGCCCTGGGCTGGATACGTGAACTGGGCCGAACACAGGCCAAAGGCAGTTGGGCGCATGCAACCACCTCAGGCCCAAGGCCTGTTCTCAATCGTGTTGGGCCTCAGGCTACCAGGGCCTACTGGAAGCTTCCTGGGACTGGACGCAGGCAGGCCACTTCAATATAGCAAAGGGCCTGCCTCCGCATTCGGCATTTGGGTGCTGGCTACATGCTGCGCAAGCGCTGCTGCGCTAATTGCTGGCTGGCGCCTACGCGCTCACAGGTGAGCAGGGAAGGAGCAGGCAGCCATAGCCGAGCTGAGCTGCTGTAAGCTGGGTGTGGCGCAGGGTGGTCCTTGGGTGCAAGTGGCATCTGTGTGTTGGGGAACGAGGTTAAGAGTAAGGCGAGAGACATACCTGGTGCTGGAAGCGTGCGATATTGGTCGTTGTATGCCCGTACTTCGGGAGAGCTGTTGTCATCAACTTCGGCATTGTAGTATAGGCTAGATAGGATCTGCCACATGTAGTCTGGGCGCCGACAGTCAAATACCCAGAGGAACTGACAGGTTTGGACCCTAGAAAACTACGATTCAGACATTATAGATAGGGATACCAGGTCAGTCTTCAAAAATAGCAACCAGCATTTACGGGCCAACTTAGACAGTAGTATAAAAGAAAAAAGGACAGATATCGGGGAGAAAATATAATTAGGATCAGATGATAGACAAGAAGTTATCAAGGATCACTCTAAGAGTTTCAGCACCAAACAGAGGTCAAGAGATGACTCCCAATAGTTCAGGCTAACTTGGGCAGGGGTGAAGGGTGGTATATCCTTCCTGAGGGAAGTAATCAATGCTGCCCTTCGGACCTCCACACCTTAAGGGGGAGTGGCATGAGTGAGTGCTGAAAAAAAAAAGAAAAAAGGATGCGGATATTGGATATCGAGTGGGGATTTAGGGTTTAGGGTTTTAGTGGTACCAGAAAAGGGGGGTGGGTAAGACGAGTTAGGGCTGATTAGGGCTCATGGATTGGATGGATAAGGGGGAATAGGCTCGATAGCTTGACAATGGGCATCCTCTTTCTTGATAAGATAGAACTATTTGACAGAGCTGGTGGCCGGGTCTGAGAGGAAAGAGCGAAGTATGGCAAGCTGGCAGTTATTCCTCCATCAAGTGGAGCAATCAATGCTGCACAGGGGTCCTTCGGCCAGACGGAAGGAAGCGGGAGTGTGTCTCAATGTAACATATATTTTGACTTGCCGGTGGAATAGGAACCGGACTGACGCTCCCCAGAATAGAAGGAGCCAGGACCATAAGGCCCTGTTTAAAATTAAAAAAAAAAAAATAAAAAAAAAATCATGGTACATGACTAAGTTCCAAGTACAAATTTAGAGGAGAGAGGGGAAGCAAGACCTCCATTTGAGAGATCTAGTTTGTTACTAATGAGAGGATGCGACGAACTCAGACTGCCGTCAAATGTTTGTCCCTCGAGAATGTGAGATACATCCACAGTGAGTGCGACGCACCGTGCCGGTGCCGATTTGTCATACATCGAGTGACATGGACCTTGAACACTGAAGGGCTCTGCCGCCAAAGAGTAGACTGCACGCAAGGAATCAACTGAGTCCAGCAGTGCGGCTCGAACTGAGGTCTTTACTCAGTGTGACACTGTTATAAACTGGACCACTGGCAGGTGCAGTTCTGGACATGGGGTGACATCACTGAGTCCTGTGCGCTCCGAACCAAGTCCAGTTCGTGCTGGGAAGTACATCAACTGAGTCCAGAACGGTTAAAACTGAGGTCGAGGTCGTTGAGCAATGCATTTCGAAGACTCTCTCGTCAACTCCTGGGAAGTACATACGTAGTCCCCCCCCCTCCTCCTCCACCGCTTGTTTTTCTAGGGTCACCGTCACAGTGACGATCTTGAGATACCATCTTCAGACTGTCCGAGCCTGGCAGGTGAATTCAAGAGTTGTTTTACGCATCTAAGTCGCCAGTGGGATTCAAACTCGGGTCTGTATTTCAAAGGTCCATGGGTGTACTACCAGTCGGCCCGTTGGTAGTACATGTGTGGGTGCACCAGATCTCAACCTCACCTTTTCACCTGTCCTTGACGAGCAGAAGAAAGGAACAGTGTCACAGGTCTTTTTCCATTTTCGGGGCGGCCGGGGGGAGGGTGGCGGAGTACCCCTCCAAGACATGCCTTTTCTGAGAGGAAGACTTAGTCTCCGGCAACAGCAATTCATCACCCTTAGTCTACCAGAAATGTGCATGGGGAAAAAAAGAAAAAGAAAAAGAAAAAGAAGGAAAGAGAGAAAGAAAGAAATGTGCATGGCACTGCATGCCCATGCAGCGCAAACTAGGAGGCTGGGACCACAGCCACTGCAGAAATCCTGGACAGCAGAGAGAACACACTGAATCAGATTCCCGTTGAGAGGAGAAGCATGTATGCTACCATCTTCACCAGAATAGAACGCCCTGTCGTTATAACCCATGTATTTAGCGCAACTTTCGTTCTGGATACAGTTATAATGACCAGGTGTTCTTTTCGGGGGTGAAGAAGCCATGCAGGCTGATCAGGTTGGTGTGGCAACAGAGACCGCATGCGCACAGAAAAAACAGACACAGTCAGGACCCCTAAATGAACAGCATGGGTAGAAGGATGGACATAATGATGATTGGCAGACACAAAGACAGACCGAGATAGAGAGGCGGTTCCCACCAAAAAAAAGGAAAAAAAACGGCGATGGAGACTATCAGAGAGTCAAGAAGGGACTGAACCAAATAGGGACTGAAACGCACGTATGACAAAACAGATAGGGCCCGAAACGCGCGTTTGGCTCCGGGTTGGTCTGCTGGCCCCGGTGTTTCAGATAGGACGATCAGTGACACCCCAAATAGGGACTGAAACACAAGTATTGCGGAGGGCACGTTCGGGGAGAGAGAGAGAGAGAGAGAGAGAGAGAGAGAGAGAGAGAGAGAGAGAGAGAGAGAGAGAGAGAAGGTGGACACACACAGGGAAGCAGCAGCTGAGTGAAGGTCCAGTCCGCCTCCATGAAAGAACGAATGAACAATTGAATGAACCAACCTACCGCCCTGGGCCTAGGCCAAAGTGATATACCGGCCTCGGTTCAGGTACGGAACAACCTGGTACCGACCAGGGTCAAGCCGACAGCCTGAAACTGGTCCGGCCTCACTGCCGGGCTGTAGGGGTACCGCTACATGATCCTCGGACCTGTGAATGGATCAAGCGATACATCAAACACGCCATCCGCTGAAATAGCAGAAACCCAAAAGGAACGGCAAAAGAAACAATCCTAGATGCGGAGCAGGCTCCATGCAAGAAAAGGGATGCAATGCAGACTAAGCCTCAAGCTTTATCTATACAACAATGTCTGGTCTGTATCGACCCAAAAAAGTAGAAAAATGTCTGACCTGTGTCGACCAAGAAAGAGAAAAATGTCTGACCTGTGTCGGCCAAGAAAGAGAAAAATGTCTGACTTGTGTCGGCCAAGGAAGAGAAAAAATGTCTCATGAGCCAAATAGGCTGAATATAAATCGACACCAGGGCCCTAAAGGCCAAAGAATACCTAGACCAATGTCCTAAGTCGAAAACGGATGTGGCACAATCTCACGTGCCCTGTACACAATGCACAATACCTGAACAAAAGAGAAGGGAACTCAGTCGCATGGCAGGGGTAGGAATGGGTGGGAAGGCGGTAGGTACAACTCTCAGAGTAAACTCCAAGGGGGCACCCACACAACCAGGTAAGGTTCATCACGCTCAGAGGGAGAGTAACAACACGACACCTGGCTCAATGGAAACCATCAAACGGGTACCGCCAGCTGAAAGGGGAAGGGCACTCACACAAGGGAGCACACATAAGGTGAGCCTGGAAGGGGAGAGAGGCTATGCCGCCATAGACATGTGGCCAAAAGCCGCGAGCAAAGAAAACGTACACTCCAAAGGAGAGCGCGCAGCATAAGGTAAGGCAGAAGGGCGGCAAACAGACACACCCACATAGACAGGGAAAATAGGGGTCATCATGCAACTGGAGGGTAACTCGAGGGTAAGGATACATGGGGATGATGGGAACTCCGTAGCCGAAAAAGTGAAGTAGTCCAACTGACGAGTCTCCAAACAGGAGTCGAGTCGAAGTAGCCAGGATGAAGTAGGAGTAATGCAGAAACCGAGTAGAAGTCCGGAACGATGCGAGATGTACTCTGGTACTGAAGAGAAGCACTGAGATCGGAAGTCGGTGTAGAAGCCGAATGTAGAAGCCGAATGTAGAAGCTGAAACCAGGAGCTGCTGCATAAGTGTCCAGGAGTGGTAAAAGATAGAGAGCGTATGGGGGATATAGATCAGTCACGATAACGAGAAGGAAGTCGATGGGTCCGATGAGGGCGCGAGGACTCGACTGCAACAACAGGCGAAACCACATCCACAGGGGAAGGAGGACCTAAGGCGGGTACCGGTGGAGCAGGAGGACCCATCGATGGAGGAGGGGGAATGTTAGTGGTCGCAGAGGTAGATGGGTCAGTAGTAGAAGGAAGAGAAGTAGAGGAGGAGGATGATGAAGGGAAAGGATGAACACGATCGTAAGCACGCATGAAAGTCATGGCATGCTTCAGATGCTCAAGAGGCTCCCATGTAGACTCCTCGTCAGGGTAACCCTTCCATCGAACGAGGTACTCGAGGCGGGGAGGGTCACCATCAGTCATACACCGGGACACAATATAAGAGACGACAAACTCCTTGTGACCTTCAATGATGATGGGAGAAGGACGAGGGTAAGGTCGACCATGAAACTCGGGAGGAGACCATCTGAAGGGGGGCAAAAGAGATACATGGAACACGTCATGTAAGTTAGCGCGGTACATCGAATCGGGGAGCTTCAATTTGAAGCTCACCTACAATCATGATTGGGTCCGACGGGTGCAAGAATGGTGCATGGTCCAATATATCGATGTTTGAATTTCCGAAGCGTGTCAGCTTCGGGCTGGAAGTGACGTGCGTCGACAAGAACCTCGTCGCCAACTTTGAGGGGATGGTCGATGCGAGAGCGGTTAGCGCGAGTGGCCATGTGAGCCTGAGAGTCAGCAATGCTCTCACGAGCCTTGCTAAGAAGCGCATCCATCTCCTTTACCCAGTCATCGAGGGCAGGGCATTTGGTTTCGAAATGGATCTCAGATGGACGAAGAAGATCAGATGGGACACGAGGATGGTATCCCAAGTCACAGTAGTAGGGAGACATGCCAGTGGCAGGTGAAATAGCATGGTTATAAGCAATCTCTGCATGAGCAAGGTGGAGATCCCAATCAGAGTCATTCTCAACAAACTTCTTGAGGATACTCCCAAGAGTTTTCTTGGTGACCTTGGTCTGTCCATCTTACTGGGGTGATAGGAGGAGGAAAGACGGAGCTCGGAGCCATAGATCTCATGGAGTCCATGCCAGAAATGAGAAGTAAAGTGGGGATCGCGATCAAAGACGATGCTAGTAGGAAGACCGTGATGAATGGCAATGCGGGTAAAGTATAAGGAGGCGATGTCTTTGGCGGGACTAGCATATTTGCAAGGGAGAAAGTGAGCATGCTTAGTCAACCGATAGACAACGACGAAGATGGCGTCGTGGCCTCGTGGGGTAGGGGGGCGAAGAGGACCGATGAAGTCCATGGAGACAGAAGTCCAATGCTGAGTGGGAATGGGTAAGGGCTGAAGAAGACCGTAGGGGGGGTGGTTGGGAATGTTGGCCTCTTGGCAGATCTTGCAGGTGCGGACGTACTCCTTAGTGAAGGGACGACAATGCTCCCAGTAGTAATGGCTGTACAGGCGGTCAAGTGTCTTGAAGACATCGATGTCAGGCAGTGCGCTAGTCATGACACTCAGCGACAGCCCGAACGCGGAGCCGGCCAGTAGAGGGCACACATAAGCAAGGAGTACAAGTACCTTGGCGACCAAGCCAGTAAAGGAGTCCACAGGGATCGAGTTGCAAGTTAGGGACGAACTTGCCAGCCTGTAGGTCAGCATAGATGGACTGAAACTCAGGGCACGGGGTGTATGCGTAGCAGTACTCATCCAGGAAGGCGGGGTGAATGGTGGGAGCTGAAATAGCAGATAGCTGACGATCCTCGCACTGAAGGTCGGGGCGGCGGGATAAGGCATCTGCGACGCGATTGCTTTCGCTGTAAATCTTCTTGATGGTCAAGTCGAACTTTGAGAGATCACGCCACCAACGAGCCTGGCAAGAAGTGAGCTTAGGCTTTGTCTGTAAGGCGGCGAGGACAGAATTGTCCGTCAAAACCGTGAAAGTTTGACCGTGCAAGTGATGACGCCACTTCTTAACAGCGTAGAACAGCGCAAGGACCTCACGATCGTCGGCAGTATAGTTACGCTCAGCGGGAAGTAGCTATCGAGATAGATAAGCAACCATACACTCTCCATCGCGAGACTCGACTGTACCGTCATTAGCGACTTCAGGGATATAAGGGGGTGGGGCCCCTGCGGGGGTGGGCTGGATGGGTGCAAGATGAGCCACAGTCGCTGGAGGTGGAGGAGGGAAGAGAGGAATGCGAGGGAGGCAGGACTCTGTGGAATCGGGAGAAGTAGAAGGGGCTGGGTAGATCTGGAAGAGAACAACTCGAATAGCGAAGTCGGACGCATCGGTGGTGACGATGAATGGACGTGAGTAGTCGGGTAAGTGTAAGACAGGAGTTGATGTGACAAGTCGCTTGAGAGAGCGGAAAGCATCCTCATGAGCCGGGGTCAAATGAAAAGGGAGACGTCCGCGGGTCAAAGGGGTAAGCTGGGAAGAATACTGCGCGTAGTTTTTGAGAAAGGGACTATAGTAGCTGGTCAAACCAAAAAAATTGCGCAGGGCGGGGAGAGATGTGGGGGTAGGCCAATTGACGATGGCCTGGATCTTCGAGTCGTCCATGTGGAGGCCGTGCTCGGATACCTGATGCCCGAGGAAGTCGACTTTGGGTTGAGCAAAGTTGCATTTGGAAAGCTTTGCATAAAACCCGTGGTCGCGTAGTCGCTGCAGGACAGTGCAAAGGTGGATCAGATGCTCCTCTAAGGTACGACTGTAGATCAGGATGTCATAAATGCAGACTAGAACAGAGTCCTCAAGGAGGTCTTGGAACCTGGTGTTCATAGCCGTCTGGAAAGTGGCGAGGGCATTACGGAGACCGAAAGGCATGACGGTAAACTCATAGTGCCCGAATCGAGAACGAAAAGCAGTCTTGGGCTGGTCCTCCTCGGCTACACGGATCTGGTGATATCCGCTACGAAGATCGATCTTCGTGAAGAAATGGTGGCCGGCGAGGCGGTCAAACAGATCATCCGCACGAGGCATGGGATAGCTGTTTTTGACCATGTAGTGGTTGAGACCGCGGTAGTCAATACAGAGACGAAGGGTGTCGTCCTTCTTGTGATCGAAGAGGACCGGGGCACTCCATGGGGAAGTACTCGGTTTAATGAAAGCCCTGACCAAGCAGCTCCTCAAGTTGGCGCTCGAGTTCCTGGCTTCGGGAACCGAAAGGCGATATGGGGCGCGATTCTGAATGTGATAGTTGGGTTCAAGCTGGATGTGGTGCTCGATATCGCGCATGGGAGGGATAATGTTGTAAGAGACAGATGGTGGGAAGACATCACGATACTCGCGAAGGAGGGCACCAACGCTAGGCGGCAAGGAAGAGAGAAGGGTGTCAAATTCCTTGGCAGCGGCGGCGTATGAAGCAAAGGTAGAGGGAGTCTGTGTGGAGGTAGGGAGTGAGGGTGTATCCGTGGTAAGGGAAGCGAGGAAGTGAGATGGGCTAGCAGGGGTAGAGGAGGATAAGGGAGTTGAGGAATCAGGAGGGTCGGGGGGCTCGGGAGGTGGTGGATCGAGCTCGACCAACTCAACGTCCTGATGCATGGAGTTGGAGGTGAGGAGATCCGTGATGTCGACAACATAAAGTTCTCCATCAAGCTCACGAAGGAGGTGGTGGAACTGGGTAGGTGTACAAATGGTGACATTAACAGGGGGGGGAAGTGTAGAGTCCGATTTGCCCAACAACGAAATACAATATTGCTTCCCATCCTTGGCGTCGAGGATGATATCGTTGTGGGTCCAATCGGGGCCGGCATGGCGAACTGATGGGAGTAGGCAGTGCCAAGAACAAGATCATATAGGGTTTCCATGACATCAAAGGTCCACTTGTCATGGAACCGAGGGGCCTTGCGAAGGTTGAGGGGCATCCGCAAGGGGAAGGAGAATGGAAGATCAGGCACCACCGAATCGACGAAGGATTTGGCCTGATTGTCGCCAAGCGTGACAGTGACAGTGGAAGGGTAGGCGGATATATAGAGAGATGCCTCCTTAACTACGCGAGGATGAATAAAGTCACCAGTAGAGCCAGAGTCCCATAGTGCGTGATACACTCTAGTAGAGGTCTCGAGGCGTACTGGAATAATCGGTAAGGTGCGATCGGGATTGTGTAGGCACTGAGACATCGCGGACAGGGTGCG